GATTGAAAAGATCCTAACCACAAATCGTGATATGAGGAAGAGGACTAAATGGAGAAATGCCCTGGCCTTGGAACTTATCACAGAACAGTTGCCTAGATGACAAGAGGAGCCCTAAAGTATTCGTAAGAGTTATGGGTTATGAGAATGATAAGTGTATCCGTCAACATTCAAGGACGGATGTTCCAAAGAGGGGAATGATATTACCTCCCGCATATTCGTATTTTAAAGTTTTCTCGTAAGTTAATCGACATAAGTTCAGGAATGGGATTATTTTGAGATTATAGGCATTATGCTATTTCTAACAAGTAATGAGTAAATTCGTGAAGGCGAGAGGGGAAGCAAGTCAAAGAAAATGAATTTTCGTCGAAGTTTGGCATGTCGGATAAAATGCGAGCCGAATGTTAATACCCAGTATTTATGGACTAGTACCATACAAGGTACTATATGACCAAGATAGTAGAATGTATAAAGTATATTAAAAATAAGTAGAATTTTAAGTAATTTGAGACAACTCTTAATTATGCGGGTAATTGGTTAATTATGGGGTAGCAGGATATTACCTAATTAGATTAGTTCACTGATGGATAAGATCAAAATAGCAAGTGGCAACAAACTAATACACCAACCATATGACTCTTAATCATAATTCATGACTAAGAGTAATTTTTTTATAGGTGCCAACCTCATTTGCCTTCTAACATTTTGAGTGCAAATAAGATTCCTATAAAATTCTAGTAACCTAGTAGTATGACTTATTACAAACTCGACTCTTTAGTAATGTTACTTCTTACAAACCTTACTTCTTAATAATGTGACTTCTTAGTAACATTTTAATACAAGTAAGATTTTCAATACAAACCGAATTCTAGTAACGTGATTCTTCAACCAATCCAACGAGAATTGGTAAAGCTTTAGCAACGTAAAATATTACAATTCTAAGGGAGTACGGTGCAATCTTTTCCAAGAATATCATACGAATTTCCCCTACTCCAGGTATGTTAAGGTTATCCCTCCTTTCTTCTTGGCATGATCCAAATAATACAAATGAAACGAGCAAAATACACGACTTTCATAAATGACTCTATTCATAGAAATACTAGGGGTGTCTATATTCTTGATTCCCCATGTGGATTATTATTATATCTTCTGTTCATGGGTCTCAGAAAAATACGTATTTGATAAAGTTCATCCGAAAGGCATATGGATTTTTATGGCATTCCAAGAAAATCTTATTAACGTATTTTATGCATTTCATGCATTTATACATGTACATTGACCCACGACTAGATGGTGTTATATAAGCGTATATATGTATATTATATTTATATGGGATATGTGAAAAGGTTACGGCGTTATATACGCACTACCACCTGATCAGCTGGTATACATCGATGATTTTGCTCATAGTGGCCGAGATGATATGATGGGATGCCCTCAGAGGCCTGATGATGTTATGAAACATGTACCTATGCACGACATGACATTCATACGCATATGCATGACACTATAATTATTTCATGATTTATAGAGTTATCCAGACTAATAGGTTGAGTCATTTACTCTATATTTCTTCCATGTCTGTTATGTACTTATTTATGTGCCTTACATACTCGGTACATCATTCGTACTGACGTCCATTTTGCCTAGAGACGCTGCGTTTCATACCCGCAAGTCCCGATAGACAGGTCGAGAGCCCTCCAAGTAGACTATTAGCTCAGCGGAAAATGTTGGTGCGCTCCATTTGCTTCGGAGTTGCTTGTTTGGTTAATATGATTTTGACGTATAATGTCTGGTATGACGGGACTCTGTCTCGATCTTTATAAAAATGATGTATTTTTAGAGGCTTGTAGACATATGTCATGTACGTAAAAGATTGTATGGCCTTGTCAGCCAATGTTCAGTACACGAGTGGTTATTTTGATCTTATAGGCCCGTACTTCATATGTATAAGTTTGTATTCCCTCATGCTTTACTCCAGTTTATTTACCTATGATAGAATGATATGAAAGATACGTTACGTTGGTACTCAGTTGACTAAGGTACCGGGCGCCCGTCGCGGCCTATCGATTTGGGTCGTGACATCTACATCCCTTTATCTTTACTCTGTAATTTAATTATGTAAATTACTTTGGATATTGTTAATATGAGTATGAGTAGCTAAACGCCTAAGCTAGGGTTTTGATTGAACCTATTGAGGATGAATTTTTTGTTACGTTAATATAGCCGGTTTCGAAAAGTCTAATTCTGGTTATATATAATAAAATAACCGAAAAATTGGTATATTACAAATTTTATAAAATAGTCGGTCGAACCGTACTATTGACACCCCTAATTGGAGGTGGTAATGACAGAAAAATTTTCTGCGACACATGTATCACACTTGTATCTCACACACAGGTATACATGTGATACACATTTGATACAAAATATAATAAATATGTGATACCCAAATGATACACAGTGTGATACACATACTATTTTTTTCATGTTCATCTTCTACCACCTCAAACCTCCAGCAAATTATCCAAAATTGAAATTCAAGCTCCTTAAAATATACCCAACCTATTCTAGTAAAACCCACTAAAAAAAAGCAAAAATTTAATCTTTTTGGCTACAAATAATTAATTGGTTAATATTAGTAATATTTGACTAATATTAATAATATATTATGAATTGATCAAGTTTTATAGTAAGCTACTTAAAAATGGATATATTTAATAGTTTGCCTCGAAAATAAGAGTTAGCGTTACCCAAAAACAAAAAGGGCAGAGAAAAGAAAATTAGTGCAATGCCGTTAGGCCCCAATTTCCGAACAGCCCCAAAATATAGAAAGATAAGTGGAAAAGCATAATGTTTCTTTTGACAATGTGGTGCTAAATATAAAGAAAACGTGTAAGAGTTGAACAAAGAAGTGCCTTCTAATCCAATATTTTGACAATGTCTCTCCAAGTTGTTCCTTCTTCTTCACTGACATTTGCAATTCTATCTGCTTTCTCTCTTTCCTTCTTTACATAAAATCACCGACTTGGACGTCAACATATCCCAACATAAGAAGTTCCCAACTACTTCTATTTTCCTAAGATAAGAAAAACTTGATAACCTACTAGTGTTGTGAACCTGGCCACGTAGCCGGGTGCGCCCTGGGGAGGGCGGGGGGACGGTAATGGTTTGGAGGGGCACACAGTAACTTTGAATAAGAGTACAGATAGATTATCTATAAAAATATGCTTGTTTACTCCTACGACGGATAACAATTAAATTTATACACTGTTTTAAGGATACGTGAATTGATTCAACACAAATAATCAAAGATATTAGATAAACGAGTAAAAATAAAATAATAATCAAACCAGTTGTAATATTATGGCCCATCTTGAACTTGAGTTGGACAATACTTTTGCCCTCGATCGGACCCTCGGTTCGGCGCCAATGGAGAATGAATACCAAAGAGTAAAGTAATAGTGTTGCTAGAGCTAGAGAGTAGTAAAAATGAAATTGTATTGCCTTGGTTTGCATGTTATAATGTGTTAATAACATCGGATGAGATCTGCGCCATACTATCCGATCGGGTGCGGATATCTCGGCCATCTGTTAATCATGTGTAGCCGTTTGCCATGTTTTTCGAAGTCTTGGAGTTCGTTTTGAGTTCGGGAAATGTTGTTTTATCTGGTCCAACGGTGAACACTCCGTTTAGCCTTGATATGGGACATGAAACATTTTGTGCATATGCAGAGGATAGAGAATTTTTTATTTTGTTTTATGTACTTTTAAATTTGTTAGTCAATTGGCATTACACACACCTATCCCATGACGCAAACAAACAGAGAAAAAAAAAAACATTTCAAGATAGTTCAGTGAGCCAAGGGAGAACTTATCCAAATTGCCAAGCAAATTAAAGGGAGAAAAAAGAAAGGAAGAAATCTGATGTATTGGCCAAGACCCAAGAGGCACACTTACTGATTAATTTTGTACTATTATGTCATCTGGAAATTCCTACACCGAGTTCTTCTCAAGAAGCAACCAATTTACCATTAAAAGCAATTCCAAAATCTTCATTAGGCACCAGATTTCAGCTGGATTATGGAAAAGTTTGAGTCTCTCTCGCTCCCTGAAGCAGGTAGGCCTAGGTAAAACGGTATTGAGAACTAATTCAATGAAAGCAAGTCATTTTTTCAGAAATGTCTATCCGAAGTATTAAACAAATTGGTTAAATTCCAAGATCTTCAGGGTTGAACAATAAGCAGTTATCTGTGAATTGTCTATCCGAATTGAAACATTTAAGCACATTGAGTCATATACAGATCAAGAATGTCCTTTAATAAGTTAAAATAATTCGGAGCAAAATACCCACATATGTATATATAGCGGAGGGACTAGCATTACTACAGGGATACACTTGTTGCAGCCGTTGCTGCCACTGTGCAAATATAGAGAGACTCTTTCTGAATAAGATAACGTAGCGTGAGAAATATAGAAACGCAACCACACGAACAAAAAAATAACTTAAAAGACTTTGCAGAAATATCTCTAACACCACCTGCCCCAGCCATAAATTTTCTGTCTAAAAAATCATGGGAGAGCATAGGTTAAATTTCAGCTCAGACAAAAATTATAATCTTCTAATAAGTGAAGCATATACATATACAAGCTTGGCCACCACTAAAGGATAGCTCGGTGTATTAAGTTCCCGTTATCTATGAGATCTAGGAAGAACTGAACCATAAGAATCTATAGTAAGCAGCCTTAACCTGCATTTCGGCAGGAGTCTGATTTCACGGCTGGAACCCATTATTATTTAATTAATAGCTCGGGCACCACAATTATTTAATTTTTTTAATTAAAAAAAAAAGACACAAAAGACAATCGTTTTCCCCCGTAGGCGTCAAGTTCTGGCCCCGCAAAAATCTACTATTGTATCTGCGGCCTCTAACTAACTAAATTTCCAATTATCCCAAAATCTTAAAAGCCCCACCGCCTTATCAGTTATATCACCTTCTTTGCCAAGTTGGCTCTCCGTCTGTATGTTGCACTTGAGGTGTTTTCACAGCGTAAAATCTCCACCATAAACTCCTTTATACTCTAAATTTTCCCTTTTCAACTATATAAACCAAGCAACCCCAACCAAATAATTGCCAAGCCCAAAAATGGCCCTCTTTTCACCACCGCCGTCCAAGTCTAAGCCTTACCCATTTTCGCCGCTTCCTCAACCAATCCATAGGCCGGCGAGAAGCTTCTTGTCTTCTCAACCAACAAAGAATGTACATACCCTATCATATAAGACAACAAAAACAAGCGTACTTAACAAGTGGAATGGCTATAGACTGGAAGGAAAAGTTAGAATTAGCAGAAGAGTAATGCCAATTGTGAATGTAGCGTCAACGTCGGTATCAGAAAATGGAAAAGAATCAAACTTTAACAGAATTCTGTTTTCTGATGTTGTGGTTAAGCGGCCTAGGGATGTACTTTTTGGTAGGCAGTGGAATTCAGTGGATTTGGGCTCAGCTGCTGTGGTTGTGGCTATGCATTTGCTCAGTCTATTAGCACCCTTTACCTTCAATTGGGCTGCTGTTGGAATTGCATTTGGCTTATATATAATCACTGGACTTTTGGGTATTACTCTTTCTTTTCACAGAAACTTGTCTCATAGAAGTTTCAAACTTCCCAAATGGCTAGAATATCTTTTTGCCTATTGTGGTGTCCAAGCACTTCAGGTAAATTAAAAAAAAAAAACATAATTTTTTCTAGTATTTGGCTTTTTAATTTTACAGTGGTTTATGTTTGTTGATTTGTGTGATTGTAGGGAAATCCAATTGATTGGGTGAGTACTCATAGGTACCACCATCAGTTTTGTGATTCTGATAAAGATCCTCACAGTCCTATTGAAGGATTTTGGTTCAGTCATATGAGTTGGATGTTCGATACTGACACCATTGTTGAGAGGGTAAGCACTTCATTCTACAGTATCTTTACATATAGTACTATAAAAGATAGAAAATTCTCGTGTATTCATTGTGTATGTTCTTTTTAATGTGTAGACAGGAAAGCCCAACAATGTGGGGGATTTGGAGAAGCAGCCCTTCTATCAGTTTGTTCGTGACACTTATGTTTTCCATCCTGTTGCACTTGCAGCTCTGTTATATGCAATGGGAGGATTTCCTTATATTGTTTGGGGCATGGTAAGTGCAGCTTTTAATTTCTTCCTCTGCACAACTGCGCGGCTCAAGTATATGCGCGACCTAAAGCCAAAGTTTAATACGACGCCTAAATTTTTTTAAAAAGTTATAAGAGATGCTCTTATTTAATGTCTATTCTTCTAGCTTTTTGAGATAAAGAATTGTTAATAATTCCTTTTTAATTGATTATATAGCAAACTCATTTGATCTTTTTTGAGATATTGTAAATTTTAGATAAGATTTTATAGAGCAATAGAAGTAGAACTATTGGAAGCTTAAATTTCTTGGAGAAAGAAGGGGAGGAAGAATATTAAAGAAAAAGAGAGAAAATATGTAGGGTATGAAGAGATTGGGGAAAAAGAGATTGACTTTGACAAAAGAAAGGGAGAGTAAAATTTTTACCCGCTATTCTAATGAAGGAGTAAGAAGTGAAAATTGAAACGTTGGAAAAACTATCCATCTACCCATGTTTAAGTAAGTCAAATTATTATTTTATTTATATATGTAAAGAGTTTTCTTTCCTTTTATATTAAAAACTTTACTTTTGTATTAAAAATACTAAATATTATTTTTTAAATACCTATAAAACTATTATTTTTAAAAAAATAGGGCCCTCAAATTTGGGGCTAAGAGACAAGTCTTACTACTCAAAACATCAAAGCCCTGCTGCATACAGGGAGAAACCTTTCATTTTCCCCTTTCAACAATTTGGAAAAAACTATTAGAATAGGGAAAAGGGAGATTTGGTAGATAAAATTTACTATGTATTTTCCACTTGCACAACGTTGAAGATTGAAATACCATATATGCAAATGAAACTAAAAAATTTAGGTAGGTCTGGCTTATGAGCTCACCGTTTTGATTTGTTTCTATTTAGGAGTTTCTGAACTTGAATTAGATTGGAGAGCGCGATAGGAACTCTAAATAGTTGTGTTTGGGTATTTATAACAATATTTAGCAAGTATTATTATCTTTTTAATCTCCCAATATGTTTATGTGTCTGCTCGCCTAACTCAAGTTGTGAGCCAATGTTGTGTAAGACAATCTGTTCTTAGGGTCCTTTATTTTTTTCATAAACGAACTACAGGACAAGCTTATTCAAGTGTGAATTCGTTGCTATTATGCATATGGTGCAACAAGATTTTGAAAATTCATTTGCTAAATTTGCTGGGGCATGCAGGGGGTGAGAATTGTGTGGGTATACCACATAACTTGGCTGGTAAATTCAGCATGCCATGTTT